CAAAATCCTGCACAAACACAAATTCAAAACCAATTCCAGATAACGTCCAATACAGTCCAAAACTAGTTCAAAACAAAACTCTGAGCCTTGACCTGAGAGGTGACAGAACCGTAGGAAAAAGCCCCAAAACAAAGCTTAAACCAGTTCAAAGGACAAAACCAGGTCTGAAACCACTTTACACCTGTAGCCAGTATTGTTCCAAGCCATTCTAAAACCAGTTCAGCGTCTAAACCAGGTGTTACCATCTTAACTTCTCCAAGCTGTTTGATGGTTCAGGTATAAAAGACGTCCTGAGCTCTGATGTGCTTGGTTACATTCTATGACGCTAACTTGAGCGTATCGATGCCGACAAGCAGCTCCAGCGCTGATGTCGATAAAACCTTCAGTGTTCACACCAGACATTGACCCGAGTTCTGTTGTGCTGCCGTTTGAATGAAGCTAACCGGTAGCGTCCTGGTTCTCAGAGCTCAGCGCAGCAACAGATCTGGTCGGTGTGTTCGTCGAGCCGCCGCCGATCTGAATGTCATGTCAGTCATCTGGTCCACAGGCGGCTCCATTAACCAACCGCCCCCTATAGACTCAACACCAATTAACGGCCACATCTCCGCCTGGCAGCTGTTCTACAAACACCGCCTCCATTTTAGACACAATTAATGCTCCCGTCTGACTGTCGCTAAAAGGTCACGGCGCTAAAAGTCCGACCAGAGCGGCGGTTAAAGGAGCATTGCTGGTTTTTATTTCCTGGATCTGACGTGGCGTCCAACATTCACGGCGGTTGGAATCGACGTCCACCAACATTTCACAGGAAAAAGTTCCGTCTTTGGTGAGAAGTCAGAATTTATTGAGTCTACCGGGTTTGCAGTTTGCTTTTTTCTTCTTGTGGTTCCACAACAAATAGTTTTTATCCAGGAACTTATCAAACACAACAGCTGACAAGTGATGAATGTCATGCTGATGTCAAGATGAAAGAAGACACGACAAGACACAACACGACATGACACAACACGACATGACACAACAAGCTAAGCTAAGCTAAGCTAAGCTAAACCTCTGTTAATCTCACGGTGGAGAAATTTGCAAAAGGGGAAAAATGCAAACATTTAAGGAACATCAGCAGAAAATATAAAAGTCCTGAAGAGTTCCAGAACAGCAGAGCTGCAGAGAGTCTTTCATAAACAGACGTATTGATGCTCCACAACTCATCATCTACGTTGTCCAACTTTGTCCCCGAGCAGAAAAACAACAACATCACACAGATTCCAGTTTACTAAGAGACAGAGACTAACTTACTTTGTAGAGCGTCACTGAATTGTACAAACTAATTATATTAATTGGGCACATATCTGATTAATGGCTTTAAATTAAATACGTATATATATAATTATTCTATCTGTTCTGAGCAGAATCTGAACTATAACTGGTCCAGTGTTTAATGTCCATCGTTATTTATTATATTAAACGTGTTTTTAACGTTCTGAGCTGCAGATCTAAACCAGGACTGTTTGTTTTTCATGTTCTTATTATTATTTGTCTTATTATAAATCAAAAGTTGTGTTTTTATGACACATGAACCCACATTCAGGTGTTTGTGATGAACTGCTGACTCTTGGAGCTGAAGACCAGCCGGTTCTTGTTTCTCCTCCAACCTGTTAATTATTATTCTTAAACTCGGGCCTTGAAGGGGGCGGAGCCTCCAGCGGTATTTAAACCCGACAGGTCGCTGATGCGCCGACGATCCGGAGTCCCGTCGGTCCGGTCCGGCTCTCGGCCTCAGCGTTCGGTGTTGGAGGGATTTCTGAATGAAGCGTGACTCGTCTCTCTCTCTCTCTCTCTCCTCCGTGTCGCCACATCACCGGTTGCCATGGCGACCGAGCGGCATCGGTGATGACGCGCCGTCTCTCCCCTCTATATTTACTCTGTTGCCGTGGCGACGACCCAGACGTGCACTAATGAAGAAGACGAGTAGACTCGTGTGTTTGTCTCCGCTGGTATTCTTTTATTTGGGCGAGTTCACGTGTGGATGTGATCCGTGGAGTCCGTTAAACCAGCGGGTTTATTATTAGAGATCAGACTGACGGTGACGTGATGAATAAAATCACAACAACAGACTAAACTTAACGAACAGCAGTTTGTTTATGATTTCCTAAAAACTGGAAACACTTGTGTGACGATCATCTACATGACCAACAGTAACAGAACAGTGTGAGCTGATCCTGATCCTATTGCCATGTCGGGGAGCATTTATACTTAATTTATAAATAATTACCACAAAAAGACATGAAATGACAACAGAGACTTAAAATTACAACAAAAAACAAACAAAAAATAAGCACAAGAAACACAAAACGACCACTAAGAGACTCAAAGTGACCTCAGAGATGCAAAACAACCGCGAGAAGATATAAAAATTATCACAAAAACAACACAAACCCCCGAAATATCACATAAACAAACTAAACTATCACAGTGGCCCAAAATGACAACAGAGACAAAACAATGACAAGAAGTGACCACAAAGAGACACAAAACGACGTAAATGGTGACAGAAATACACAAACATGATGAAGTCCTACACAGCTGGAAGCATCAAACTAAACTGTGATCTCGTCTCTTCTCCTGACGACTCAGACAAACTAAAATCCACCAACTTTAAGGTAGAACGAAGAACAACTGTCCGTCACTGAAGCTAAGTTTAGCAGAAGGTTCTGGTTCTTCATCAGGTAGAAGTCATGCCTTATTTAGAAGTCTTTTAGAACATCTTTAACTCAGATTCAAGGGTTCTTGAAGTCTCTTTAACTCTATTTCAGAGACATTTGGTTTGTTGACCAGCACAACAACACGACTGAAGAACTGGAGACACGCTACCAGTCGCGTGGAAACGATTTGGCTACAGAAAAGACCAGAAACAGGTTTTTGGTCAGTTTGAGATGAACGTGAGTCAGATCTGAGTCCATCCAGGAAACACACTGGTTCCACCTTTAAAACAAACAAGATGTGAAAACTTCACCTCGCTGAAGACCTCGACACAGACTGAGGGGTTCAGAGCCGAACAGGAACAACCCAAAGCTGAGTTTTATGTTTCTTTGATAAGTGTTGAAGTGGTCCAACCATCAGTCCACCAGTACCGTCACCATGAGACTTTGAAGTTTGGTCCATGATGGATTTGAACCTTTAGAGGCAAACTGAGCGCTACGTCACAGGTCGCTGCAACGCGTTTGCGATTCAAGATGGCGGACAAGCCTGTAAAAACTCAACTGGTAGGTAAAATAAAACCTCAACTCACCACCACCAAGCTTCTGTTTCTACCCCGTGGTCCTCAGAAGTATCTCTGGTTCTTCTGGTAGTTTAATCGTAGCAACTGGACCTGCTTGAAGACGTTCCACCTTCATCCAAGAGGCTTCATCAGCTCTGACTGACTAGTTGGCAGTTCCACATACTGACATTAACGCCTGAGTTTCAACAGGAGGTTTGTTGCTCCTCCCCCTCGTTATGTGGGTCGTTAGTGCTCCTCCTGCCACAGTGGGGTTCGTTAGGGTCTCTGTGGCGAGGTGTGGATGTGGCTTCATCTTCCTGGGGAGAGATGTCTTCAAGGAGCTCAAGCAAGTCCAGTTGCTACGATTAATCTATGAGAAGAACCAGAACCAGGAGGACTGAGAAGCTCCACAGACATCTCCAGTTCCTCATGATGTTTAACAAGAAGAACCTGGTTTTGTTCTCAAAGAGGCCGTCAGCAAAAGGAAACTAAAACTTCAGTAAGTCATCACAGAGCAGCTGCTTCTGTCTCTGGGTCCATCTGATGACTCCTCCAACCACCAAACTTTGACCCATTTCCCTCTAACACTGCTGAACCTGGTTTGGTCCGATCAGTTTTCACCAAACAGGGTTTTATAAACAGCGACTGTATGAAGCTGCAGTTTCCTCCTTCATGAAGCTCAGAGGCTCAAACAAACCAGCCGTCCTCCTGAACTCCAAGCAGCTTCCTTCTTCTCTCAGGATGTGTTTCTGAGCAGCTCCTCGCCTCCAGACGGTTGAAACCGATCGGACTCTCCTGACTCACCTCCGTCTTCTTTCAGTCCGCTAACCGACGCTCGTCTCACCTCCGGCGTCACACTCATGTAATGAATCTGTTTCTGCCTGTAGCAGCGTAAACCTGCTGCTGAGCTGATGGTACAGTCGGTGATGTTTCAGGAGATCATTTAGAGCCGCTGAGCTTTAGGCTGAAGCCTCTCACAGCCTGAAGCCAGAGCATCAACACGCCGGCGTGTCGGAGGGGTTCTGATCCGTTCATCAGACAAATCTGCTCCAACAGGGTTCTGTCTGGATGATGGAGGTTCTGCAGACAAACAGCTGGAACCTGGAATCAGCTGATTGGGTCAAACTGAGGATTCTCCTGCATTCATCTGATGACTTCTAGCAGCTTCAGTGGACGATAAAGCTTCTGGTTCTGGTTCTGTTAGCTTCCCTTTGTGGCTCCGATGTTCATGTTCAGGCATTTGTCCAGTTGTTGTGTCTGTTTGGGTTCATTTGGCATCTCTTCTTTGCTACGCTGCTTCTATTCAAAGTTATTTTTTATTTTTGTTTGCTCTGAATCAGCGTCTGTCTTCAGTTTGCTTCAGTTTGAGTCTCTGCAGCCTTTTTGCATTCATTTGTGTTCATTTCTTTTTTCCTACTTTGTGCCTCATTGTGGTTGTTTTTGTCTCTTTGGAGACGTTTTGCATGTCGCAGCCCTTTGAGGTGACGATTAACACTGTTTGTGGTCCATTGGCTTCTTTTTTGTGCGTTATTGTCGCTGTTTTGTGACTCTTGCTGTTTGTTTTGTGTCTCTGCTGTTTGTCGGTTCGTTAGAGATAAATGAATAAAGGAGGTTGGATCAGTTTAAAGCTCTTTAAAGGTTTTCTGTTCCTCCTGCTGCTAGAACTAAAGGATGAATAATGAATAAACCCTCAGCCTGTTGAGAGAACCTGGGCCGACCAGAACCAGAACACCTGGACTCTACAGACCTGATAACACCTGGACTAACAGATTCATGTGTTCTGCCTGTGACTCCGTGAATCCGTCGTACCTTCGGGTTCAGGACCAGCTGCTGCTCATCGAAGTGCAGCAGCGCCACCGAGTTGGACTCCGAGTTGTTGACGAAGATCTGCAGGCAGGGGTACAGCGACGTGCCCTTACAGTCGGCGCCGCAGGTGAACACGCACTCAAACATCTCCTCCGGACGCAGCACCGACACCACCTGCAGGGGGCGACAGGGGGCGGGTTAACACGCCGACCTCCAGGAACCAGGACAGAACCGACTCGATCCGCTGGTTTACCATCAGAACAGAACTATTCTGGTGTTGATTCAATGCAGAAAAAACAAATATCACATCTGGTTCCTCCCAAATATAAATATTTCAGGCTTTTATGAGCAACAGTGAAAGTTTGGTGAACGTTTAAAATACGTTTAAGCAACAATAAAACGATAAAAACTGAGAATAAACAGAAACTACCAACATCTCATCTGTCTTCAGTCGGTTAGAACTGTTCCATAAGTCAGTGAACTGGGTCCATTTCATTTGACATTTTCTTTAATTCCATGTTTCGTCCCCAAATTCCAGCTCTGAGCAGAAAAACTAACGATCTGACTTTAATTAGCTTCTGTTAAGAGTCGTGGCTGAAAATATGAACAAACATGTCGGTTAAGAAGCTGAACTGGGTCGTGTTGGAACATTTCTTATCTGAATGTTTTATATGGAACCAAACTGTTGGAAATATTTTAAGAATCCAATAAAAAGAAATGAAAATCTGAAAACAAGTTAAAACACTGAAAACTGGTTAAAATAATGACGTTGATTTAAATACAATTAAACCGTCACACATTGGACAAGAATAAATGATTGTTTTTGTTTTTGTTTAGTATTTATACAAGGAAAACAAACAACATGTAAATTTCTACTTTTTTCTGTGATTTTACAAAATATTATAATTTAGAAGGAAAAATCTTTAAAATAAAAAAGATATACATTTTTTGGGGTAATTTTTCAATCCTGAAAATACATCATTTTACTTTTGAAAAAACACCAATATCTTTAAAATATTTTTTTTCTGATTTAAATACAGTAAATGTGTAATTTTATGGTTAAAAAAATATATAAATAAGAATTAAAAAATTCATAAACATACTGATTCTTTATCACGACGTTGTTGATGAGTAAAACTTTTATTTCTGGTCAGTTATAATCTGCAACTTTTTGGTCGATAAGTTCTGACCTGAATCATGACTGGACGGAGAAACCGACCTCAGGCATGAAGACACACATATATATCTATATCTATATATATATATGTATGTATATATAAAACCTGATCAGTGTGCTGTGATCTGACAACAGTCGGAGTTTCTTCATCACTCAGGAAGCTGCGACCAAGTCCCACTAATGTGATTTATGTTGTACTGAGCGGCGGATTAGTGGATGACGGAGTCGACTCCATTTAAAAAAACAGAAAAACAAAAGCCGTCCACTCTCCGTAATGCATCGACATTATTCCAAGATGATGCAATAAGCTAACAGCCGAATAAATCAGGCCGCCATGAATTCATCATCGGCCGCTCCGAGCGCAGCGTCTGATTTATGGCGCGGAAACTCCGAGACGCTGCGCAAACACTTTCAAACGTCCACGGCCGAGAGGAGGCGAAGGTGGAGAAACTCACTTTGTATCGACGGCAAATAAAGATCAAACCAGAACGCGGCCCGGCTGCAGGTTCTGACAATATGTTTACGTTTCTGTCAGAACTAAAGGTCGAGTTCTGCTCCTGCCAAATAAGAAGATTACTGCGACGCTTTGAGCTTTTCTACAAACACGACGTTCACACTTCCTGAATCTGAGCAACAACTGATCTCATGTGGGCGTGATTCTGCATTCAGCGACAGATCAGGGAGCTCTGAACAGAATCAGTGTTTAAAACCTGCTTCTAAAGAATCTGAGAGGCTGAAACAACTGAAGGAGTTTTATTTAGCTGCGTCCCGTCCAGGCTTCCTGCCACGTCGCTGTCGCTGGTTTTCTGGCCGCGGCTCAGAATTTGCTTTTCCGAACAGCTGCCAGCGAGCGCAGCCCCAAACCTCCTGCATACGACATTCTGCAGAAGTTGGAGACGAAGGCAAAGACTCAGACGTCTGGGAGTTAAAGAAAAAACCTTCTGTGAGCTCATCTGAAAGCAAGAAGGATCGTCTGAATCCAAGCCGGACTTCTGTGTTAAAGGCCATCGATGGAGATAAAACAGGTTCCTTTTCAAAAACCCGACAACGTGATGGTACCGTCCCTCTGATTGCATTCCATCACCTCACATCACAGGTCTACGTTTCCGCCCCAAAGATCAAACTAATCAGTCAGCTGATGTCACTTCCTGTTTCACCACCATCATACACAGACAGTCCAGCTGATAGCAGATCACTGAAGGTTCAGGCCGTCTTAGGGCAGCCGGAACCTTTTGAACTTCTTCTGACTTCAAGAACCAAAAACTATACCTACGAGGTTCTTCTGAGAGTCCCTGAAGAACCGCTGTGTGGGTCCAACTCGGCATAAAGCCGAACATCACAGACATCCAGTGACTGTTTGTTGTTGTTTTGTTCTGAGGTGACATGTTGGATCCGTCACCACCATGAAAACCACCAAAGTCCCCACGAATCACCTCCAAGACCAACAGTTACGGGTCAGTTAACCAACTACGTCCATCCATCCATCATCTACACAGGCTTCATCCTCTGTAGGGTGTCAGGGGGCGGAGCCTATGTTGACATTTCTACCGACTGCAGTCAGAACCCAACTCGCTAGCAGCTGGTTTCACTTTTCTTAGAGTCAATCTTCTGCTTTCTTCTGAAAACCTTGACTTTAACAATCTCGTACTCACTGCAGTACATTTACCTCAGAGTCAGAACCAAACTGTGGACAACATTCTGGAAATGTTTACAGCCCAACAGACAAACAAGCTGAACCTTAAAATGCCAGAGTTCTAAAAATCCGTCTGATATTTGTGGTAAAAACTGTCTGAACGAAGTCGTCAGTCTGAATGTAAATGAGTTTCATCGTCACACCTGATTGATCCGATTGATGGAAACCTGCAGCTGATCCGATGCCACTGAGCCGCATCACGGTTCGTCCCCATTTAACAGATTATCACAGAGGATCTGAGGAATCCTGCAGTTCATCACCTGGATGACGTGAGATTAGCTGAGCTACGTGTTAATGAGGTCAAATGGATCAAACTGAGCAGCTTCACACCAAATACTTCAATAAGTTCACAGGAACGTGATCAAATCAGACACTATGGTCACATATGAACAGGATCTGACCTGATCTGTGCAGTATTATCCTGCTATGGAGCTCATTAGCTGTGTGAGGAATCAGTCTGTGTTCATTTTTAATCAGATTATCAATCGTTTAGTCAATTAAATGGTGGTTTTATTGCTTTTTGATGCCTTTTTTTGCCCAAAACAATCAGTTAACATGAACATAAAACAGTGAAAAGCAGCAAACACGACTAAATCAGATCAACTCCTGAATAAATATCCTCATAAAGTTCTCAGTCGGATCCATAACTCTGCTCTCCGTCTCTGTTTTATATATAACTCTCATTATACTTGTTAGTGATGAATCTGTTCGTTTATTTTTAATGAGCTCATCTGTAATCAGCACAGATAAACACCATAAATAAGAGGATCTGAGATCAGTTTAACATTTAAAACTACACATAAAACAGCTGCAGCAGCCCGTTAAATATATTTTATCATCAAAAGAAAAATAATTTAACTCAACAGTAATAATCTCAGCGACCTTAATTAAATCACTGCTTAAAGAGTTCCTCATGGACTGAAATTTTCTTTCTATTCTGTATTTAAATGAACTAAAAACATCATTATTTTACATGATTTTTACATGTTTGACTGGTTTTTAAATACTAAACCAAGCCACAGTCTTAATTTAAACTGTTTTTAACGAGGTTTTTTTTAAACAGTGTAAACATGTGAATGCTGCTTTAATTAAATCTAATAATGAAGCTTTAAATGAGCTGAAAATATCAAACTTGCAGGTTCTTTCCAACAGTTTTTAACTCCCTACTTCATAAACTACAGATTTATTCACACTGAGAAAATGTGAATATTGTTTAGATTAAAATAAGTTCAAATAATAATAATAAAAAAAAAGATAATTCTGAAAATATGAACACAGTAATAAATGAGAGTAAAGTAATCAGAGTAAAAATACTGCAGAAAGAGTCACAAGTTAAATAAGTTACTGTGAAATTCACCCTTTAACCCTCAAATAGTACTGATAAATAAACACTATTAAATACTACCAGTACTACCAGTACTACCAGTACTACCAGTACGACCAGTACCACTCCTGCCTGACGCTCCGGAGCTCCGGACCGCCGGCCGGCAGCCCGCAGCTCCTCCGCCCGGCTCACCGTGCAGTTGGCCGGCTTGCTCTGGAGGCTCTGCAGCGTCGGACTGAGCCAGCAGAAGCCGAGGATGAAGAGGCTGAGGATCCCGCAGGCGATCAGGAACAAGCCCAGCCGGATGCTCTTGTCCTCGGCCTCGGAGTACTCGTACGACACCCGGATCTTCGCCATGGCAGCCCCGCGGACACCTCCGCTCCGCCGCCGGCACGGAGAGGAGGAGCACCGGGGGAGGAGCAGGAGGAGGACCGGAGGAGGAGGACCGGAGGAGGAGGAGCTGCTCTGCTGCCTGGACGTGCTCGTGTGTCTCATTTATCCTCCATCATCCCTCCCTCTGTTCTCCTCTGTTCTCCTCTGTTCTCCTCTGTTCTCCCTGGTTCTCCTCCTCTGCTCACCTCCAGCATCTCAACTACAAAAAACAAAAATAAAAATAAAAGGTTCCAAGACGTCACAGACACAATCAGCACTTTGTAGATGAAAAAAAGTGTGTTTAATAAAGTCTGCAAGCGTTCTGAGAAGGTTCTACTAAGGTTCTGCTAAGGTTCTGCTGCTATCCTCTAGTTCCCAGAATGTTCTCCTTAAAGCCAGCAAAGACGTTCCAACAACGTTTGGTGACAACATTGTTGGATGTTCTCAGAATGTTACGCTGAGAACGTTCCTTAAAAAAAAAAAGATCATGGAATGTTGTGAGAACGTTTCATCATGTGTTCCTCAACAACATCCTCAGAACGTTTTCCATTTTCTGTCATGTGTTCTTTTAACAACGTTCCCAAAATCTCCTCAGAACACGGCAGCCAGAATGTTCCACCTTTGCTAGCATATCACATTACAGGAACGTCTCATAAAGAACGTTCTGTTGTCCGAGGACTCGATAACATTCGATAAACTTTTTGGAACATTGGTTTGAGAACGTTCCTCTTTTGTTGTTGTTGTGTTCCACTGAGAACGTTCTCCCTTCGTTACTCTGGTGGTGACATTTCATATTAAGAACGTTCTGTGGTTTGTTCCCTCAAGAAAACAAAGTGTTCTACCATCTGAGGGCTCGATAAAACTCAGAAAACCTTTTTAGAACGTTGGTTTGAGCGCGTTCTTCTTTCACTATCATGGAACTTTGTGAGAGTGATTTATAGAAGAACGTTCTATAATCGGTTCCCTCACTGCAGGCAAAATGTTCCACCTGTGTGAATTACATCATAGAAACTTATAAAGAACATTTTCAAGACGTTCTTTAGACCTCGGACATGTTCTGCTTAGTGGAACACTGTAGAACGTTCTCTCATCTGAGGCCTCAATGACATCTGGACAACTGTTGATTTGAGAACGTTCTTCCTGTGTTATAATGGAACATGTTGAGAATATTTTGCAGAGGGATGTTCTATCATGTGTTCCCTGAACAACGTTCTCAAAACATTCTCAGAACATTAGAGCCAGAATCTTCCACCTTTATTATTATATTGCAGAACAGAAACGTCTTACAAAGAACGTTCTGCCATCTGAGGCCTCGATAACATCTGAGAACCCTTATTTAAGTCAGAGAACGTTGTTTCTTGGTTCTCATAGAACCCAATCTGTGTTCCTGGAACTTTGATGTTTTTCCGACTTTAGTCAGCAGTTTGCAGAGAGACGCAGGTATCAGCGTGGACGGGGTTCTGAGTGGAACAGTCTGACCCCGACAGAGAACCGGACCTCGGGTGGTTCCGTACTTCTGGTCGGGTTCTTTCCTTCCTCTCTGCGGGCCGAGTGACGCTCGTCCTTCTGCTCCCGATGATTGAATCCAGATTTGTGTTCCGTGCTGTTGTTCCGCTCCACGCTGGACGAGTTAATCCTCTTAGCGACGCAGAACACTCGACTCTGAAACATCCTCCGACTCTCTGGACGCCGGGTCGCCTTTAATGTACGACGGGTTCTGTGTTTTATCTGTTTATAAAGAGACGTGGAGCTTCAGTTGACTGGACGTTAGAGGTGTTTGGAACCGAGAACGTAGAGACTCAAACCGACTCTGGATGTGGATCAAAGCCTCAAACATCTGATTCCTGTCGATGTTTACCTGAACGGACCCAACAGGTCAGAAAGTCATTCGTCTTCAGTACTTTATTTATTCCACAGACTCAAACATGATCATGTGATCAACACAAAGCGTCCAAATGAGACAGAACACGACCAGAACACATGAAGTCCGACCACAGCGAGATGTTACGACAACAAGGAGGCGCTAAACGACCAGAACTAGACACAGAATGATGTAGAACACCGACATCTATGTAGAAGCAGAACCAGTCTAGACCCAGCTCCTGGACCAAGTCTGAAACCAGTTTAAAGCTGGTCTTAAGTCAGTTCAGTCCAAACCAGAGTCTAAAAATAAACTGAAAACCTGGTCCTAAACCGGTCCAAAACCAAGTCTGAAACCAAGTCTAAAACCAAGTCCAAAACCAAGTCTGAAGCTGGTCTTAAGTCAGTTCAACTACAGTCCAAAACAGAGTCTAAAAACAAGTCTGAAACTAGTCTAAAACCAATTCAAGGACCAAGTTCAGAACCAGACTAAAGTTGGTCATAAGTCAATTTAATAACGAGTCCAAACAAAAACCGTCTCTTAACAGAGTCTAAGAACGAGTTCAAACCAAGTCTGAAACCGGTCTAAAGCCGGTCCACAACCGTCTAAAATCACAAACCAAAACCCAGTCTAAAACCAGTCCAAAGCCAACTCCTAAAGTCCAATAGAACCAGTCTGAAACAGTCTAGAACTGGTCCAAAACCGGTCTAAAGCCAACTCAAAACCAGTGTAAGCCAAAGTTCAAGTATAAAATGAGGTTAAATCCAACCTAAAACCATTATAAAACCATTATGAAACCATTATGAAACCATTATAAAACCAGTCCTGATCTGGACTCAGTGTGACGGACTGAAGGTTCTCCAACATGTGGAGCAACCAGGACGAGCAGGTGATTCAGTTTCCTTCTCTTTACTGCTGATTGAACAAAGTGACGATTCAACCGGACTTCTAGCTGCTGAACGTTTACAGAAGAATCGACCCGACTCTGGTGGTGAAACACTGAACATTAAACGTTCTGCTGAGCTGCAGGACGACCAGAACACATCGGACCACGGAGGACTTGTGGTTCTCTTAAAGTGAAAATCAGTTTGGTTTCTGGTGATTAGTGTGAAAGACCTCCGAGGACCAGATGATCGATGGTCCAACTGAGACGTATTGATTTCTGTCCTCTGAGCTCAAACACATCAGCAGAGTGTCGATGCAGCCGCCGGGTCGGTTCTGATGCCGGTTCAGGATCAGCGTCAACACTTCTCTTCTTTATTTTAGGAGATTATCGAGTCCAGATGGATCAACAGCTTCAGTAAAAACACAACGAACCAGTTTACCGACCGACACGAGACGATTCTAAAAACTGACGACGAAGAATCTGTGGACGGAATGAACACAAAGAGACGCAAAGAGACGCAAAGAGACGCAAAGAGACACAAAGAGACACAAAGAGACACAAAGAGACGCAATGAGACACGAAGAGACTCTAAATGATGAAAGTTAGACACAAAACTAACACTAAGATACAAAATGACGACAGATAAACTCACAACGGGCACAACAAGATGCAAAAACTTCACAATGTGACGCAAAATGACCGAAATTAGACAAAACGACCACAAAGAAATACACAACAAACACACAAAATGACCAAAAATAGACACAAAACGACCACTAAGATGCAAAATGACCACAAAGAAACACACAATGGACACAAAAAAGACCAAAACTAGACAAACTACCAAAAAGAAATGCAAAAAACCAACACAGTGACACAAAACAACCACAACACATGAGCTGAGCTACAAACAGACGCAGGAAGAGACACACTACGACCGCAAAGACTCACAAAAAACACAAACGTCCAAACAGTTTGTGGAGTCACGTGATCACCGGCATGAACTCACTGTGGTTCATCTCAGCTGCACACACACACACGCACACGCACACACACACACACACACACACACACACACACACTGACCTGCAGAACATCATGAGGATTAATCCGCTGCTGAAAATAGTCCCAATAACTCAGTTTGATAAAACCTCAGATTTATTCTCTGAACTCTGACATCAACGCTCCTGAAGCAGCTTTTAGTCAAACTCGACCCCCTTCAGGGTTTTGTTACGGTGAAGAAGTTCAGCTTTCAGAGGACGAGACGGTAAATATGAAACAGCAGACGATGAAATAATTCTAAAGCTGCAGGTTTTATCTGTTGCATAAACGTGCAGCAGCATGAAGCCTCGGCGCCGTAATCAGGAGGCATGTGGCCGGATTATTATCATCTCTGCAGATCAAAAGATTACAAATGACGGCGGACATCAGCGAGCAGCCACATGTTCCTGCAGGACGGCCCAGTCGGTCCACGAGTGAGCCGGAACCGGGATGCGTTCGACAGTTGGTGTCCTCAGAGGACGGATTCAGCTCCCGGAACACAAACAGAACCGGAGAGACGAGGAGATGTTTGCTCCGGCTGTCGAGGAAACAGAATCAGAGCGCCGACATTTGGCCGAAAAGCCTCGAATCAACTCCGCCGTTACGCAGACGACGAGGCCTTCTCCTGAAACCGGCGACAGGAAAAGAACCGCAGATCCGTTTAAAGGAAACTTCTGGACGTTTTAACGCAACGTTTAGTCGTAACATGAAGCAGCAGACTGATGAGCTGCTGACGGACGCTCTGGAGAAATGATCTGGAAAAAAAAAAAGTCAAAACTGGCAGCAAGGAGCCAGAAAATATGTTAAAAACAGTAGAAACAGCATCAAACAGCTGGAAAATAAAAATACATTTAGCTGATTTAATAAAACAAATCTGATGATTTTGTGTTAAAACACTTTTTTTTCTCACCGTTCTGGCCCGTTTTTATCATTAATATGTAAATTAATAAGTTTTTTATTCTGTGATTTTACAAGAAATTATTTGTAATTTAACAAAAAAATCTGTAAAATAACCGGAAAATGATAATTTAACAGTTTTTCAGCAAAATATAAAAAATATAAAGTGGATTCTATGAGCAACGCTGTAAAAGAACAAATGACTGTTTGTAAAATTACAGACTTTTGATGTGGACAAATATTATTTACAGGTTCTTTTAAATTAATATTTTTTCCTGTAATTTAACAAAACAGGTAAAGTCTTTAAAAGCTGTAAAAAAAATCAATTTTTCAAACTTTATATACAAATTGTACTTTGAAAAAAAAACAACTGAAAATATCTGTAAAATAATGATTTATTTAGCTGATTTATTAAAGTAAATCTGTTCAGTTTCTGTTAAAATGCTGCATAAAAACCTTTCACTTTAAAAAATATGCTGATTTTTTCAATTTTTGTCATCAGCATGTAAACTGTTTTCTGTAAAATAACTGTAAAAAGATCATTTAACAGTTTTCAGTCCTTAAAAAAACTGTTTTTCAGCAAAATTAACGTCATAATGTGGATTTAAAAAACAGTAAAAGAACAAATTACTGATGTTTGATGTGGACAAATATTTAGTTTTTTGTTCATACTTTCTGATTTAATTACAGTCAAACTAATTTCTCTGATCCACAAAAAAACTTTAAAATAAAATTAAAACACATTCAGCATCTTAATTTTATCAGAATAAACGTTTTATTATCATTTTATCATCCTGTGATTTCACATTAAAGCTTCTTCTGATTGATCCTTTTTATTTTCCTACATTCTGCCGTCTCATCGTTGCACCAACAGAAAGACACAAAAACCCAACGATGAGCTACAACAGACACACAAAACAACAACACAACGGCTTCAACACATTTCTGGATCTTCGTCTCTCTGCTGTTTGTAAAACAGTTTTTTTTTTTTTCTCTCATCAGTCGAAGCTGCTTCAGCACAAGAACGTTCTGGATACGTTCTAGTGAAACCATAACTTAACGTCTTCCACTTCCTCTCAAACAACTAATCGACGGCGGAGCAATTAAAGATGAAACAGTGGCTTAATTAAAGGAGCTGATGGATTAACCGAATGTTCTGCTGTAACGAGCTCATTAACGAGTAAAGTCAACAACAACAACACAACAGAACAGGTTTGGTGCATCTGACTTTAAATGCGACTACATGTGAAGCTCCTCACTCGTTTTTATTTCTTCTATTTCTGAGCTCAGTCTGACTCCTGCAGAGCTTCTTTAATCTGCAGTAAAACCTGCTTTTAGCGCCTCGTTAAGTCAAACACTCTGCAGCTCCTTCAGTTTGTTTGTTTGTTTACAGTGTGTTTGTTTGTTTGTTTACCTCCAGGCCTTTAGTTTTCTTCAGCTGCTGCAATAAAAAGTCAATTAATTAACGGATCAGCAGCAAAAGTAACGTTTGTGTTTCTGTCATTTGGGACCAAAAACTCAAAGATGTTGGCTGAAGGTTTTAGACGTTTTCACTTAAAGCTTCCTCAGAATGACGTAAAACTGTTCAAAATCAGATAAATGATGATGTTTAATAATTATTGATCATCTGAAACACAAAGAGTTCCAAGATGTTCAAACAAAGGTGGTGCTGGAACCAAACGGGCCTCATAGAACGTTAACGTTACCGTGAAGCAGCTCGTAGCTCTGCACACCTGGAACCAACACCCAGAACCAACACCTAGAACCACAATCTAGAACC